TTCTTCCATTGGCTTTATAAAATAATAAAATATCATCTCCTTTTTCATCTCTAAGGAATTAACAAGTGGAAAATTTATTTTTGGGGGAGCTGAAAGGTTGAGGGAGTTGACCTCATTGCATAGTTTGGCAGCTTAGCTTCCGACTACAATGGAGCTTTGCCTCGGGCCTGATCCTGTGAGGTGCAGAGATGCTTGAACATTTCTGAGGCCCTGAATTCCTGTCCTATAACAGCAGTTCTCAAACTTAAGCAAGCTGAGGAACCCCATTTTTCTTTAAAAATTTGTTGGGACCCACCTGCCCTACTCCTTTACCAAGGTCCTGTCCCTTCTCTGTGGCTCCTCCCCCTGCTGAATCCATTCCCCCCCCTCTCTGTTGCTCACTGTCCCCCACCCTCTCTCATTTTCACTGGGCTAGGGGGTTGGAGGGTGGGGGTGTGAGAGCTCTGGGGTGGGACAAGGACTGTGGGCTTTGGCATGCTGGAGGGAATGCTGGGCATGGGGTTGAGACAGTATGGGATGCTGGATTTCCCTTGCAGCCCCCCAGTTTGAGAAACGCTGTCTTACTCTGTACACATAATGAAGTCTTGGTGATGGGGCAACTCTCTGATGCTTTGTGGAGAAAGGACAGACACAGTCAGGATCCCATTCAGATTAGCAAAGCTGAACAGGCATATGCATTTTATTTCTTTTATCAACTCTTAAAGATGTCTCTCTCTTTACAGGAAAATTGTTGATAGAATAGACGATAACAAAGATGGATACGTCACAACAGAGGAATTGAAAAACTGGATTAAGCGAGTGCAGAAACGCTATATCTATGAAAATGTGGCTAAGGTCTGGAGAGATTATGACCTAAACAACGATAATAAAATATCCTGGGAAGAATACAAACAAGCCACATATGGGTATTATCTAGGTAAGATTAGTCAAAAGGTAACATTTTAGCCTGGAATTTTCAAGGAAGCCTTAGAGAGCTAGTCATGAAATTTCAATCAAATTCAAAAGAAAAAGGAGAGCCCAGTTTCATATGGGGCTATATTTGGCACATTTGGCTATATTTTCCAATCTACCCAAAAGTAATTTTCTGGATGCGTAAAGATTTCAGAAGGGGAGGAGCAAGTGAATAACATTTCAAAGCTAACTTAAAAGCCTCTGCTCCTATTAGTAAACTAAGGGAATTGTGTGGGGCTGTGTCTACACTGGGCCACTTATTCTGGAAAAGCAGCCGCTTTTCTGGAATAAGCTGCGAGCTGTCTACACTGGCCGCTTGCTTTTCCGGAAAAGCAATGACGATCTACTGTAAAATTGTCAGTGTTTTTCCGGAAAAACTATGCTGCTCCCATTCGGGCAAAAGTCCTTTTCCGGAAAAACTATTCCGGAAAAGGGCCAGTGTAGACAGCACAGTAGTCTTTTCCGCAAAAAAGCCCCGATCGCGAAAATGACGATTGGGGCTTTTTTCCAGAAAAGCGCGTCGACATTGGCCACGGACGCTTTTCTGGAAAAAGTGCTTTTCCGGAAAAGCATCCTGCCAATGTAGACGTGCTTTTTCCGGAAATACTTATAACGGAAAACTGTTCCGTTTTAAGCATTTCCGGAAAAGGGTGCCAGTGTAGACACAGCCTGGTTGTTTTTAAACTTTTCTTTTAAAAGCAATATGTTGAAAGAGTAGTAAGTATTTGCTGTATTGTTTCTGTGAAGTTTTGGTCTGGATGCTAAATGGAGGCTCTAAATACAGTGTCATTATTCTGTTAGAATGTGATACAAATTATGATCAATTATGAATGGAAATCCCTAAAGCCAGACAAATGCAACATTTATGTGAAAATATATTTGAAAGACATGACTCTTTTTTTTGTGGCCCTGAGAAAAATTGAATCTGATGTGCTTGATATGGCCAATGGCTCTTGTGCAAGAGAGGTTTTTGTACAAAAAGGAGCTGTCTACACTGCTCTTTTTTGTACAAAAGCCTCTTGCACAAAAACGGCAGCTCATTAATTATGCAAATGAAGTGCTGTGATATTGCACGCTGAGCTTCATTTGCAGAAGCTTTTCCGCAAGAAGGCTACAGTGTAGACATAGCCTAATAGAAAGAAATGAAAAGTTTCAGGCTGGACTTTTTATGGAATTTGAGGACTCCGCTGAGATCCAGACTTGAGACTCAGAAAGCAAATTACGGGTAAAAATTGTGACATAGGGTACGTGTACACTGCAAAGTTATTTCGGGATACCCCCGCATCTAAGGAACGTGTCCACTATTTCAAAATAATGTTTCAGCATCCCTATAAACAGGGCTCGCCGAACCACGGCGAGCCCCGCTCACCAGCTGCGCTGTCCGGCGATCTGCTCATGCGCACATCGGTCTGTGCAGATCGCCCGAACCTGGCTCTTCCGGGTTACAATCTGCTCGCCACAGGTGAGTAGATTGTATTATTTGTCGAGCCCTGCCTATAAACCTTGTTCTACGAGGAATATGGGATGGCTCGAAATAGCGCTTTATTTCAAAATTTGGTGCCGTGTAGATGCGCCAATTTTCAAAATAGCCTATTTTGAAATAAAATTGAAATAAGATACGCAATTTGCATAACACAAATTGCTAATCTTATTTGTATTTTAGAGTGCAGTGTAGACATACCCTATAGGCAGGTTCTTTCCAACTCATGCTCAGCACAGCAGCCATCTAGTGAGGCACAATCTGTAGTGGGGACAAAAAGAAAGTTCTATTCAAGTATTCATAGAATCATTTCTTTAAAAAAATTAAAGCAAGAGACTTCTCTTAAAAGCCAAACTTATACAAGCGATGCCTCTAACAAATATGAATGGAACAACAAGAATGGATTGCCATCCTGAAAGAAGAACAGGAGCAGGCTATTCATTCATGAAGTGAAGATTTTTTGCAGGCCAATCAACAGTTTTTTCTAGATAGGCATTTCAACTGTATTCCTCAAGGAGATGCTAGATGGCTGGGTTCTGCAATATAAAATCAGTATTATTTCCTTTTAGAAATACAAGATAATGCTTTTTCAAAAAAGCAAACCAGAAAAGATAAGTGAGCTGCTCACCAATTGTTAATAAGCGTAAAAAGACCGGTGGAACCCTGACACAATCTGACTTAGGCAAGACATCACGTCATACAGGAACACAAGGACACAGTTTTGTGTTTACACAGTCCTGAAGTTGCTTGGCCCAGACATAAAGGATTTCTCGCAGTCATAAACATAGAGTAAACAAAAACCAATTCCCATAATTAAAAAACGTTACTACATCAAAACTTGCTTACAGAAACCTGCATTAGAGTCTCTTATGTGCAGTCTTAAGACAAAAAGTCTGAGCAATAAAAGTTTCTAGGACAACAGAACAACACAATGATTTCCATGAGTTTTAATCAGGCCCTAACACTGGAGAGGTGCACTTTCTGCAGGAAGAGGCAAAGGTGGCAGCACTGTACCCTGCTAAACAATGGAATCTGCTTCTCCTAAATCCTGTATGTTCTATGCAACAAGATTGTGTCAAAAAAGAGGGGACAACCCCCAAAACCTACTTTTTATAAGCTGGTGTGCAGACTCTTTTAACTACCTGATCAACCCTGTATAGCAACAGTCTGAAGCTATGTATGTAAGTCAGCAGAGACCTAGAGAAACGGGATCTAAATGACAGAGGTTGTTTGAGGACTTTAATAGGCTCTTAATTTCTTAGTTGATGGTAAATTCCACTTGCCCATCAATACACCACAATTACTAGTACATTTATAAGCTGTACTTCACAAACCCTGTCATCACAAACACTATGGCTATGTCTACACTGCGGCGCTGTTTTGGGATACTGAAAGAATCCCAAAATTGCTATCCTGCATCTTTTGAACATGCTATTCCGATATCCCTGTAAACCTCATTCCACAAGGAGTAAGGGATGTTTTGGAATAGCGGGTTATTTCAAAATTAACTCAAAATAAGCTACACAATTTGTATAGCGCAAATCGTGAAGCTTATTTCAAGGTAAGGGTGCAGTGTAGACACACCCTATAATGGCTAGCTATGACTTTAAAATTTCACAAATGAAATCCTGACACTTTAGCAGCCATCCTGACAATGAATCCTAATTTTAGAATTTCCAGGATGTATTTCAGCAGATTTTTTCTAAACACTATTATTGTAGTGTATGGAGACAATGCATCAATGTTTTCGAAGAGACACACTTCTGAGATTTTCTAATTAATTTCTAGAAAATCCAGAAGAATTTCAAGATGCAACTGATCAAAACAGTTTTAAAAAAATGCTGCCCAGAGATGAAAGGCGATTCAAATCTGCAGACCTGGATGGAGACTCAGCTGCCACTCGCGAGGAGTTCACTGCCTTTCTTCATCCGGAGGAGTTTGAGCATATGAAAGACATTGTCGTCTTAGTAAGTAGAGCAAAACCAATTGCATTCTCTTTGCTTTTATCCCTTTGATGAGTCTTGATGCACTTCCCTACGCTTTCAGTGCAGGATTTCAGAAACAGGCATGTACGTAAATAGTCGCCAACCCAGGGAACAGAAAGGAAAGTGCTTCATGGAATTCACTTCTTTTATGGTCTACACATAGACTTGCAGTCCTATTTCAGTTTAATGAGAGTAAAAATAAAAAGAATAAAAGTGTTTGCACTGGAAAAGCATGAGCTATGAATAAAATCTGATTTAGATGTTTTGGTGCACGTTTGTATATAGATGAGCCCTTACTTTAAACTGGGGGCTGATGTCTAGATATAACAAAAGACTGGTGCCATCGCGATTGTTCAACTGCAAAGTTACCAGAGCCATTCATGTGCATGGAATTTCTTCACTCTGACAGGAGATTTGTGTATTTCACAAAACTCACAGTGGAGTTAGACAATATCAACATTTCTGTGCACAATGAATAAAAGAGCAGGCCAGCTCCCAATGTGAAATCTTCCAAAAGGGCAGTCCAATGAGAGAAGCCAAACATGGCACAGTTACTCAGGATTTCTCTTAGGATTTCAGTTTTGATCATTTTGAGAAGTAGCGCTTAGTCATAAAGAGAGCTGTTGGAATGTTCAGTTATTTCTTGATCACTGTGGGGGGTTGAAAAATGTTTTCCAGGAAACACTGGAGGACATTGACAAAAACGAGGACGGTTTTGTGGATCAAGATGAGTACATTGGTAAGTGCTGGAATGGAATTGCCTCTCCTTCACATTTAGCACAAGTACTTTAAAAATCTCCACTCCACTAGTCCCTGTCTTCTCAGATCGAAGTCAATACTTACCACAAACAAGAGCATCTCCATACCCATACATTCTAAACAAACAAAATCAAAATGTTTCTTTTCATTTTAGGCATGTAGAGACACCAATAGCAAAGGTTTTCTAACACTTCCCATTAAACACCTCTGGTTTTAGTTTCTTATAACTAACACCAATAGCAAAGGTTTTCTAACACCTCTGGTTTTAGTTTCTTATAACTTTGCCAAACTTCAATGGCTTGGACTGACTTTTTTATGCCAGATGTCTGCCTAAGCCAATATTTTTTCCTGAAGAAGCTATAGCTGAAACGGTTTGACTATTTCCAAGAATAAGGTTAGAGTAAAATGTTGTGTCTCCCGTGTTTTTGTATTTATTTATTTTTACAATTGTTTCCTTGCTCAGCTTTCATGCTCTGAAGCAAAGACTTGAAATTTGTCAAAGGGGGGGAGGAAAGGGTCACCCCTTTCCGGGGATGTGCCTTTTGCAGCACTTGTGAAAACATGGCCAAATTACAAATCTCTGGAATCAAAATCATAGTTCCCTTATGATCAGTCTTGTTACCATTTGACAACTAAATTCTCCGAAGATTCCAGCTGCACTGGCCATGCTCTGTCCTCTCGCAGTTCCTGTCTAGGTGCCATCCCCACAGTAACTGCTCTTGCTCCATCCTTGGGCTGCAGGGGCTGAGCTGGGGATAGGTTGCTCTGCCCAAAAGACCTGGCACCAGAATCTAGACAGCGTCATGAGATTTAAGAAGCAGCCTGATGTGAAGGAAGAAGAACAGCGATGGGGAGGAGGCAGAGTGCATAGATGGGGGCAGGGTTGAATTTGGCAGGGAAGTGGATTGGAGCAGGAGCAGAGATAGTGCAGCAGTGGGTTAAGAATAAAAGTGCCAAGGAAGGCAGGAGCCAGGGATGGAAAACTGTGTTTGTCAGAGAGAGGGCAGGAACTGGAGGGGGAGATACCTGTAAGCAAGTTGGGGATTTTAAAAGTTGGGAAAGGGGCAGAAGCGGAGGGTGGAGGGCAGAGGAAAAAGCCAGGGAGGGGACGCCAGAGTAGAAGCTGGGGAAGGGCTGAGATGAGGGAAGGGGACTGTCTCTGCCAGCACATCCCTGTGGCTTTAGGGGGAAGGGTGTCTCCATGCTCTGCATGCGCCCCGTGGCCAATAGGAATCTGCAGGGGCAGTACCTACGGGTAGCAGCATGCAGAGACACCCCTTCCCCCCCAGCCTCCCAGCCTAGCAACCGCTGCTCGAGGTAAGCACTGCACCCCCATCCCCTCCCCCTGCACTCCCTCTGGTACCGTATCCCCTCCCAGAGCCTGCACCCCCACCTTCTTCCTCCCTGCACCAGGCCTCAAACACCCTCCCAGACCCACATTCCCTCCTAAACACCGGCACCTCACCCCCTCCTGCACCAAACTCCTGTCCAGAGCCCGAATCCTGCACCACCTCCTACCCCTCAGTCCTCTACCCCAGCCCAGAGCCTGCACCCTCCCTCCCAGAGCCTTAGGCAGCTGTGGGAGGGAGGGAGCTTGGGCGAGGGAGAAGTGCGGGTTCAGGGCACCACGAACATTTCTGCAGACCTGCCACCCTGGGCACTGCAACAGCGTAAGTGCGATTCAGTAGGGGAGGGTCTGGGAAGGCAGATGTGTGTGTTATGCTTGTGAAATGTCATGCTAACATTGAAGCTCGCGTCTCGTGCTGCCTCGTTGATTTATTTCTTTAATCAGGAAAGTTGCACCATAAAATCATGAAATCAGATGCCGATAAAAACCTTTCCTTTCTAATGCTACGTAAAGATCACTCCATTACATATAATCAGGAACAATATACACACATTCATTAATGTTAGGGGCTTCCACTCCTTGAAATTATATTTAGCTTTAAGATGTAACTGCTTTTCAGGTATGACTGAAATAACAGAGCAGCCTAATTTCCCCAGTAATTTAAGTTTATTCTGTGACACTACCTACATATAATTACAAGCTAGTTGTCAACATTTGTTACCATGTAAATGCTAGTTCTATAGATAGGAGCACAGAATGTTCTAGTCACGACCACCTCACATTGGCAAAGGTGATAAAATCAAATTGAGGAGAGTTGTCAGTTACTTCAAATAAACAATGTAACTCTCGTGTGCCCGCATTTATTACAAAACTAAAGAGTAACAATGAACAGTTCTTGGAAGTTTTCTTCAACAGTTGGGAAAACAAATGTCTAAATTATTGTATGTGCTTGGATTAGATTAGATTAAATAGAGTAGCGATTTTGTTGTGTGCTCTAAACCCTGGCTACTGTGTGTCATATCTACATTTTTGCTTTGTCTTGTTTTAAAAAATGAATAAAACCCCACAAACATTGCACAGCTTGTGCCCCTTCCCCAAAGCAAGGGACCATTCGTGACGACATTGGACATTGGCTTTGGATCAGGAGCCAAGAAAGTTTAGCAACTAAAAATGTTTCAGCATCTTTACAGACTGGGCCAAATTCCCACTAAAATGGGCACGTGCAGTTCTGGTAATGTCATGGGAGTTACACTCATTTACAGCAATGGGGAATCCAGCCCTGGTCCAACACATGCATATGGTTTTTATTGCTAATTTTGGAGCAAATCCCAGAGCGAGTTGCACCTGCACCTCCCATGAATGCGAGCTGGCCTCAAGCCTAGCCTGACCTAGGAACATGTGAATAGTCTTGACAATCAAATCCATACTGGGCTGTGAGCAAAACGGGTCAGTTTTAAACAGGCCAATGGTAGAGATGTGGGCTGGGAAAGAATGAACCTCACTGACAGGGGGAGTTGATTGGTGTGCGAGTGCAGATGGGAGAACCGAAGTACTAAGCAAACTGAGGTTCCTCTAGCTGATTCCCTTACAACTGATAAAAGGATGGGAGGCCTGGGCCAACATCTCCACATTAAGTCACCGCTGATTTCCCTTTACTCTTTCCGCTGTCTAGAGGGGCTGCTGCCTAGGCAGGTCATGTGCATAACTTAACTTCAGCATGGACTGGTCTGCAGTGTAACTCCTGTATACCAGAACTGATTATCCACAGTCTATCACAAGGTGTTCTCTTAGCCCGGATCACTGATGAGTGGCTGTATCACAGGGGTGGGCAATAATTTTTGGTGGGGGACCCACCCCAAGATTTTGGAAAGTGGGGGCTGCTGCCTAGGCAGGTCATGTGCATAACTTAACTTCAGCATGGACTGGTCTGCAGTGTAACTCCTGTATACCAGAACTGATTATCCACAGTCTATCACAAGGTGTTCTCTTAGCCCGGATCACTGATGAGTGGCTGTATCACAGGGGTGGGCAATAATTTTTGGTGGGGGACCCACCCCAAGATTTTGGAAAGTGGTCAAGGGCCGCACTTTTCTGTGGAGGGAGTGCGGGTCTGGGGTGAAGGTTGGGTGCAGAAGGGCGCACGGGGTAAGGGACTGGGGTGCAGGAGACGGTGTGAGGTCTGAGAGGGAATTGGGTGAAGGGGGCGTTGTGACCTGGGTCAGGGGGTTGAGGTGGATCAGGGAAGGAGTATGGATGCAGGAGAGTATTCTGGCCTGGGGGAGGGGTTCTAGGAGGAGGTGCAAAGTCTGGGAGGGAGCTATGACCTGGGAAAAGGGGGTGCAGACTATAGAGGGCTTAGGTGGTGACCTGGTGCAGGGGTGCGGAGTGCAGGAAGTGTGGGTGAAGGAGAGGATTCAGGCCTGAGGGAAGGGCATAGGAGGGGGTCCAGGGTCTGGGAGGGAGTTGTGACCTGGGGCAAGGGGGTTCTGAGGGTTTGGATGGTGACCTGGGGGAGAGAGTTGCGGTGCGGGAGGGGCAGGGGCATAGGGTTGCCAGATGGTCTCCCAAAAAATACTGGACACCCGGTATTTTTTGGACAAGGAAAAAAAAAAGGAACATGGGATAAGCGGCGATCACAACCCCACCTCCCAGCTGGGAGGCGGGGCTGCGAACGCCGCTGGGAGCCTGTGATTGCGCAGAAGCCTGGCGGGGGCAGGGCTGTCCACGTCAGGCTTCCGTCAGGTGCCCAGCCGGAAAAATCAGAGAACACCAGACACTACACGTGTCTGGTATTGTCTGATTTTTTTTTTTTTTTACCAGGCAGCGGGCTCAAATACTGGACTGTCCGGTAGGATATCGGACACCTGGAAACCGTACAGGGGCAGGCTCTGACTGGGAGGCGCTTACCTAAGCCAGCAGCCCTGCAGCTCCCCCAAGGAAGGCTGGGCTCCCTGCCTGCTGCAGCCTCAGATCACTTTAAATTGCAGGCTTGTTCCCTCCATGTGGCTCTCAGCTCTGGACG